ATTTCGTGTCCTGTGCCTTTGTTTCAGCAGAGCTGGGCTTTCCCCTGCCCTGCCCGGGATGGCTGGGGGGGGGTTTGGGCAATGCGTGTCCCTGCAAATCTTTTCCACCTCGGGAACGACTCACCTGGTTGCAAAATATCTGCTCTGGGTGTAGGACCAGGTTTTAATTGCCTGGGGCAGCCCGGGCTGGGATCAGGGCAGGAGCTGGACGGAGCTTTCCTGCTCTGGGGACCCCAAAGCTGCTCCGAGCCGGGACTGAGCCCTTGGTCGTTCCACAAGCACCAGGGAGCGAAGGAAGGAAGGAAGGAGGGAGGGAAGATGTTTCTGCTGCTCCAGGGATTTGGTTTTTCCCCCTGGAGCCGAGAAGGTGCCAAGAGCTGCAAGCCCGAACACTTTTCAGGCAAAAAACCGCTGATCTTGGTCACTTTAGGCTTTTCTTTCTTTCTTGGAGCAGCTCTTTGCCCTGGAGGGCAGCGCTGGGCACGACTGGGGGAGGAAATCGCTCTCGTCACGTCTTTTAAAGCTGCCCAGAACGTTTTTGATGTGCCCGGGGCTCCTCTCCTCGCCTGTGCTGTTCCATTCCCGGCTCCAGGAGCTGCTCAGCCTCGCACAACCTTCGTTTTCCTCCTGGTTTTGTGTTGTTGAAGCCCCGGAGCAGCCGCACGGCCCCCCGGGCTCAGCCTGGCCACGGAGCACCCGGGGGATTACGGCCACAACCGAGCTCCAAATCCCCGGTGACCCAAATCCTCGGTGCCCTGGGGCATTGTGCCAGCAGGCACAGTCCCCCCGGCTCCCCCACCCCACAGAGAGGGTTGTTCCAGTCCCTTCCAGCATCTCCCACCCCACAGAGGTGGTCATTCCAGCCCCTTTGGTGTCCTCCACCCCATGGAGGTGACTGTTCCAGTCAATCCAGCATCCCCCACCCCACAGAGGTGGTTGTTCCAGCCCCCCCAGTGTCCCTCATCCCATGGAGGTGGTTTTTCTAACCCTCCTGGTGTCCTCCACCCCATGGAGGTGGCTGTTCCTGCCCCTTCCAACATCCCCCACCCCACAGTGGTGGTCATTCCTGCCCCTTCCAGCATCTCCCACCCCACAGAGGTGGCTGTTCCTGCCCCTTCCAGCATCTCCCACCCCACAGTGGTGGTCATTCCAGCCCCTTCCAGCATCTCCCATCCCACAGAGGTGGCTGTTCCTGCCCCTTTCCAGCATCTCCCATCCCATGGAGGTGGTTTTTCCAGCTCCCCTGGTGTTCTCCACCCCATGGAAGTGGCCATTCCAGCCCTTCCAACATCCCCCACCCCACAGAGGTGGCCATTCCAACCCTTTCCAGCATCTCCCACCTCACAGAAGTGGCTGTTCCAGTCCCTTCCAACATCCCCCACCCCACAGAGGTGGCTGTTTCAACCCCCCTGGTGTCCCCTACCCCACACAGGTGGTCGTTCCAGCCCTTTCCAGCATCTCCCACCCCAACAGAAATGGTTGTCCCAGCCCCCTTGACACCCCCACCCCACAGAGGTGGCCATTCCAGCCTTTTCCAACATCCCCCTCCCCACAGAGGTGGCCATTCCAGCCCCTTCCAGCATCTCCCACCCTACAGAAGTGGTTGTTCCAGACCTGATGAGGTGGGAACACCCACCAGCATCTCCCGTAGGAGCTCTGGGGTGTCTCCCACCCCTTCCCCAGTCCCCCTGCCCGGTGTTCTCCCACCCCACAGGCTGGGACACAGCTGAACCCGCAGCTCTCCCTCCCCAGCAGCTCCAAGCCCTCTAATTGCTCAGGCCCCAGCTTGACGGAGCATTTACAAAGCACACTTGACTCCAGCCCAGCAATTAAACACCCTCGTAAATCCTGCCCAGGAAAATGAGCCTTAATCGGGGCTTAGGGCTCAGCCAGGTTCCCTTCACCCCTTTCCCAGCCCCAGGGATCACATGCTCTGGCTGCTCCAGAGCCTTCCCGGGGCTCCACCGGCCCTTCCACAACCAGGGTCACCCTGAGGGGCCTCTCTGGGGGTTTTGGAATGGTGACATCGGGGGCTTCCTCCCCCTCAGGTTGGTGGCAGAGTCAAGGGGGGGGTCCCAGCTCTCCACGTCTCCTTTGGGGTGGAATCTCCACTTGGAGCCTTTTCATCCTTTCCCTCAGGGCTGCTCAGAGTCCCCCAGGCCCCTGGTGGTCCCTCCTGGATGGAAGTTCTTCCAGAAGAAGAACAAACTAAAAGGGGAACAAACCCGTCCCTCGGTGCCCAGAGTTATGAGAGTCCTCAAAGCTCTGCAGAAAGAGGAGACTCTGAGCACCCTGGTCCAGTGGAAGGTGTCCAGGGTGGAACTGGATGAGCTTTAAGGTCCCTTCCACCCCAAACCAGGCCTGGGATTCAAGTAAAACTGGTTTGGAGATGGAAGGGGCTCTGCAGAGCCCTGCAACACCTCGTCAGCTGGGTTCCCTGGGAGCAGGTGCCCACCCCGTGTTCCTCCCCTATCCCTCCATGGGATCTCCCTCCCTTCCCAAACTGGAAGGCAAAGCCAGGAAACCAGTAACAAACACACCTGAGCTGCTCTTGGTTCCCAGCCAGCCCAGGTGAGGCTGTGAGAGGCTGTGAGAGGCTGTTTGCTCATTCACAGCCTGGCCGATAATGATTTATTCATGGCATGCTGGGGGTGCCTTTGTTTCTCACCCTGGCAGCTCCCAGAGGTGGAGCAGCACACCAAGGTTAACTCAGACCCAAGTGTTTACTTTCCAAAGAGTTTGGGACAGCCAAGGAACAGCAGCTGGGAAGAGGCAGCAGCAGGAAGGAGGGAGGGCTCCTGACGCTCTTGTGGTGTCCAGGAACCCGGGAAGAGATAACCTGGCCAAACACCTGGATCTGGCAGGGCCAGTTCTTATTTTGTGTGGGAAAAGTTGGCATTAATCAGCTCCAACAGGTGACCAATGGTTTCTAGAGACTCTTGCTGGGGCAGCTCTTTGGCCAGGTCAAAGGCTTTCATCCCCACCTCCCGGGCCTGGAATGGGACAGAAGAAACACACAGGGATTGTCAGGAATTTGGCTTTTCTCACGGGTGAATACCTGCCCAGGTTCAGTGGAGGAGCAGCCTGGAGCAGATCCAGGCTCCCTTTTCGAGGTGACCTGTACAAGCTGCTTTACAGGAGAGCCTAAAGCTGCCAGATCTCATATTTAGGATCCAGTGGTGCAGACAGAAGAGATTATTGACCCCAGCCCCCCATCCCAGACATCACCTCCCATCTAATGCAGCTCTGAACATTCCCAAAGCTCTTTCAGGGAAAAAAAATCAGCTGTATTGACTCAGTCTGAACTAAATCCCTCATTTTCCTCAGCAAGGAACTAAATAATTTCCCTTGGTGGCTCTTCTGGGGATTAGACATTCCCACAATTATAAAGCTTTGTCTTCTTTCTAATTTGAATTTGTTTCCTTGTGTCTTCCAAACACTCCCATGGCTGTGGCTTTCTCTGAGACAATGAAGAGAACATTAATATTTCAACACAGTGTTTTGCACCATCTCTATTTTCACTACCCAAAACACAGGCAGGAGAAACTCAGGGTTTTCGAGCTGAGTCTGAACAGAGGGGCCTGATTTCCAGATGGTTTCTGCTCAGCAGTTCCTCAAAATCAGTTCTTGGTAAGGCACAGAAGTTATCAGTCACCTCTGGAACTTTCAGCCAGAAAAACACAGGGGTGCAAATTCTAAACTGATTTACAGGCTGCAGTAGAGCCACCCTTGAACTCAGAGGAGTCTGGAGTGTGAGGCCAATGTCCTGCTCGCCGTGTGACACCTCACCTGATGTCTAAAGGCAGCCTGTGACAGCCAGTGACACTGCCAGGACAGCCCAGGGAAAGGATGAACATGGAACATGTGGATAACTGCAGGACCTGCTGTGGATGGCAGAGAGCAGAACAGCTCCAGAGGGATTGTCAGCCTTGACAGGATGCAGGTCACAGAATCCCACAGTGGTTGGCTTGGGAGAGACCTTAAAGATGATCCATTTCCACGGGCAGGGACACCTTCCACCAGGCCAGGCTGCTCCAAGCCCCATCCAACCTGGCCTTGGACACTTCCAGGGATGGGGCAGCCACAGCTTCTCTGGGCAACCTGTGCCAGGGCCTCAGGGAAGAATTTCCCCCCCAGTATCCCACCTAAGCCATCCCTTTGAAGCCACCCCGTGCAGGTCTCTGAGGCAGCTTCATGCTCTGTCCCCCATCCCTGCAGGGCTCTCATGGGAGATGTTCCATGGGAACAAGTGTTCCAGGAGACGGAGCGACCCCCAAAAACACTTGGCCAACCCTTCCAGCCACGACTCACCTTTTCCAAATCCAGGTCCAGGTAGTGGAGCATGGCCAGGGCATGCAGGACTCGGGCTGTTTCCTCGGGGAGCTGTTGTTTCTTCCTGACCCCCAGCAGGGCCTGCAGCACCCGCGTCCCTTCTTCCCGCTGGGCTTCGGCTGCACGGGAACGGAAATATCCCGTTGGATGGGTGGATTTGGGCAAGGGAATACATTCCAAACTGCCCAGTTGGCTCTTCTAGACATCAAAGCATTTCTACTACAAACATCAACACAGTCTGAGGGTGCTGAGGCCCCGGCACAGCCGTGGCTGCCCCTGGATCCCTGGAAGTGTCCAAGGGCAGGTTGGGCTTGGAGCAACCTGGGCTAGTGGAAGGTGTCCCTGCCCATGGCAGGGGATGGAATGGGATGAGCTTTAAGGTCCCTCCCAACCCAAAGCAGTCTGGGACTCTGTGATTCCATGATCCCAGCTCCATGCACATTCCATGCCCATGAACAGAACTCTTTTCATCTGTCAGTGATTGTGTGATCCTTTAGTGAGGATGTGGAGCCACAAAGAAGAACAATTTTCCTACTCCTGTCACAACAAAGACAGTCTCCTGTAGCCCTGCCTTGGTGTGGTTCCTTCTTTGGGAACTCCTGATGGAGACAATGCCAGGAAATGGGATTCACAAAAATGTTCCTCTTAGAAGCACAGAATCCAAGACTGGTTTGGGTTGGGAGGAACCTTAAAGCTCCTTCTGTTCCACCAGGGACACCTTCCACTAGACCAGGTTGCTCCAAGTCCTCTCCAATCTGGCCTTGGACACTTCCAGGGATAGAAATTCCCTTCCCTGACAATATCCTAGTTAGCACAGATGGCAGAAAGGAGACAAAAAACAAAGTCTCCTCTGGCTTCAGTGGAGCTTGGGGTAGTACCAGGCTCATTAATGCTTTAGGCACATTTATGTCCCACTGAGAGACCCCCCAGCCTCTTTCCTGTGAATATTCTTCTGATAACACATCCAATTATCAGGACAGGCTCTTCCATGGAGAAGCTCTCTGCTGCTCCAGGAGAGAGCTGTAACCCCACCTAAAGGAGGGGAAGTGTCACCTTCATTATTAAAGGGAGACGAAGAAGCTGCAGAAAAATTATAATGTTCAAGTCTCAAGTTGCACCAGGGGAGGTTTAGATCAGATATTAGGAAAAAAACTTGCCATGGAAAGACATGTAAAGATTTGGAAGAGGCTGTCCAGGGAGCTGGTGGAGCCATCACGTCTGGAAGTGTTCAGGAAATGTGTGGATGTGGCACTTGAGGACATGGGTTAGGGGTGAACGTGGCAGTGCTGGGGGAATGGTTGGGCTCGGTGATCCTAAAGGTCTTTTCCAACTCTAATGATTCCATGATTCCATGATTCTACGAAGTGGAATCAAATCCTGAAAGGCAAAATCCTGCTGCAGTCAATGCCAAGGGTGCTGTGAAAGGGAGTGTGTGGACAGAGAGGGCAAAGCTGCTGTGCCTCCGTGGAAAACCCTCATTCCTGAAGGTGCCTCGTGGCACAACCCACCGAACACCAACACCCAAAACACCCAGAGTTCCCGCTGAAATCGGTCTCTGGGAATGCCACACCAACCCTAACACTGCCAACATCATCTGTAGGGTGCACAGACTCTTCCAAACCCCACTATCCAAGTGGTTCTGGGGCAACAGCAGCTCTTACTCATCCTGTACTCGGCCACCTCCTCGTCGTCAGCCCACGGAGCCGCCTCGGCGCGGGCCCGGAGCTGCCGGAGCCGTCCCTGGTGCTCCTGCAGTGAGCTCAGCAGCCAGGAATGCCACAGCCTGGTCACCTGGCAGGAAGCACAGGAATTATTTCACTTGTGTGGGTACCTGGTATTCCTTGTTCTCCAAACAATGTCTCGGGCACGGCCTCTCCCGCGTGCCGGCGGGTCACTGAGCCACGGATGTTCCACGCCGGGATCGCTCCGGCTCCTCCCACACAGCCCCAGCTGGGACCTCATTTCTCCACCTCAGCACTGCTTTTAAACCAAACTTGAACCAATCCAACCAAAATATTCACCAAAAGTAAAGTTTGGGGGGTGGATTGTGCAGCTCCCCAA